GGGAAGAGATCTGGGTCGTTGGATCTGGCAATCAACGACCTTGATAATTTGATAAATTAGGTTTTTAGGAATTTAGAAATGATTAAAAATGAAAAAATTGGTGGTCGTCAGATGATAGGGTTTGGACGGTTAAGATTAGGTCTTAAGAGGACGAGTATTTGGATTAAAAAGGGAATTAGAGAATAAACGTGAGTCGTTGATCAGATGGATCAACGACTCAGATTTAGGTATGTTTGTTCTGTGAGTGAATGAAGATGGGTGACATGGCACGTTATGATTGGTGCAAATAGGATCACTTGGATTGCCAACAAAGATGAAATGGGGTTGTTTGGACTGGCTTATTTTCGTTTGGGCTTGCACGTTTGGGCCAGAAATGATTTAAAAGGTGGCCATTTTGCATTTAATTGAGAATTGCAATTGTAGCCTTTTATCTTTAATTCTTTTTGAAATTAAGTTAAATAAACTTAATAATCTTCAATAAAATATAATAAAAATTATAATTGTTAAATACTACTAATTATTGTAATTAATTAATTATTTGTAAAAAAATACTTCATTAAGACATTAATTTGAATTATTAAAATAGCAAACTAATTAACTCTTTTAAGAAGTAATTTATGGAATTAATTATAGAACTTACGTATAGAAATTATTATTTTACCAACCTAAAATAGTAAATATATTTATAAATACATAATACTAATGTCAAATGATTAATTTTGAAACTAATACTGAATTAATTTGAAGAATAGGTATTCATTACTAGAAAATACTTTGAAAATATTTATTGTGAATTATTAAGAATAAATAAATTAATTTAGAAAGGGGGGGTCAAAATTGGCTGTCAACAGCTTGCACGCAAAACAGTGGCAAGTAAAGAACAAACTAAGAAATTGAATGAGATGCTACAAACCAGTAAAGCAGAGGTACACCAAAAATCTTATGAGTCTTTTAAGTTTGCGACTGAGGGGGAAGAACCAGCTTTATCTTAAACTGAACAGGTAACTTCTGGGTTAAAGACTTTCATGTTGCGTCTTAAATTGTGGAGAATCTTGAAAATAGGTTTGTATTGGTTGGTTTGATTGCTGGTGTAGATACTGTTGGGTCTGCAAAAATTGGTGATAAAAATAAAAAAAGAAAAAGAACGTGAGGGTATTGAAGTAGATGTGAGGGGAGGGGAGAAGAAAGAGTGGTTGGATCTCCTTCACCCACTCTTGTTGGTTTGAATGGAAAATTGGGGCAATAGTGTTATGGAAAGAGGAGAGTGCTGATGAGGAGGAAATTGTTGAAGTATGAGGTAGTGGTTCTAGGGACACTACGGTAGTAGAGGGGCTGGTTACGTTGAGGAAAAGGTTCCAAGAACCTATTCCATCTAGAAAGGAACCCCTACATGATCTGCTGCAGAAAGTGTCTGACAGTTACAAACCTAAGAAGAAGAAAAGCGCTGGAGTAAAATTCCATGGAAAGGCTATGGGTGGCAAAAAAAACAAAGGCTACCTCTTCTATCCCTGTAGAGACTCCTCCCACAAGAGGAAGAGCTAGAAGAAGCAGGGTAAGGCCAACTTGAAAAAGGCCTTAGCTAAGAATACCAAGAAGGCTGCTGCCAAGGGGAAGAAGAAAATTGGAGAAACAAGTGAGGCAATTCAGATTGAAGAGATGGACCTAGTCCTTCATGATGAGGATGAGATAGAGGAACTGGAGGTTGTCACTCCCAGTGCTAAGAAAAGAAAGACTTCTAAGAAGAAGTCTCCAGAAAAGTCTGTTGAGGAAGAAGACTTTATTTTGTCCAAAAGAACTAGGTCTGCTGGAAAATCAAAGCAACTTCAAGTAGTGCAAGAAGAAAGTGAAGAAGAGGAGAGTTATGAGGAAAATGTTAAGTTAGTGAAGTTCCTGAAAAGAGCTATTTTGAAGGGGAGTCTTCTTAGTGATTTAGATGAAGGAATGGTTCTGCTTCTGGAAAAACTTGAGGTACAAGGTTAGAAGGACATATCCTTCAGTTGGAAGGAGGTTGGCCAGGGCTAAAATTGTGAAATTCTTTACAAATTGTGAGATTGACAATGGAAGGGTCAACAGTGAGGTGAACGGAGTGAAAATCGGCATTGATGATAAAGAGCATGAGGATATTCTAGGTATACCTGCTGAGGGGTATAATGATTATACCAAGCTAAAATGGCCTAATCTAGAAAATCTTCCTGCTTCACTGGCCATCACTAGGAAATTTGCTAAATGGGACTTGGAGCAAGAACCTTGGGCCGTATACAAGACTGAGATGAAGCATGCTCACAAAGTGCTCTTTGAATTTGTGAATAAGGTGGTTCTGCCCAGCAGGAAAGAAGACATATTGCTACCTTCATAAACCTGGTCCTTATGAAGTGCTTGGATAGTGGAAAGCAAAGTAATTGGCCAAGATTCATAATAGAGCTCCTTCATAGGGTTGTTTGTGGCACCAAAACTCATGTCATTCCCTATGGCTTTATCCTAACAGTTGTGCTTGACTACTTTAAGGCTCCCCTAAAGAAATGGGATGTTTGTACTAGTAAAGACTATTTTGGGGCTGGAACTTTGACTGATTGTGACTACTAAGTCCAAACTGCACTCAAAGAACCTGGAGCATCCAAGAAGGTACCAAAGAACAACAAGGTTAGAGCATAGGATCCGAAGAGTGGGGCTAAGGATGCTGAGATTGAAAGGTTGAAGAAAAGGTTGGCTGAAGTAGAAGTTGAGAGAGGTTCTCTCAAGTCTGAGCTTGCAAAGGAGAAATGGAAGAATGCGGGTATATTTCAAGATATGCTAAAACTGCTTCAGGCCAAGAATCAAGAACCTGGTCCTTCCCAGTCCTAAACCCTTTCTAGCCCAGTCGTAACCAGTGTCCCAAGTAGGATTTCCTTATTTTTTGCTCATGGTTCTATATTTTTATTTTTTCTTATGCTTTGTGGTAGGATCCTTATCAATCAATGAAATTCACTGCTTTTGCTCTAATTGTTTGTTGATATTTCTTAGATGGCTAATATCCTTAGATTGTAAAAAAGAAAATTGAATCCATGATTGCATTTGAAGTAGCCCCAATGGCCATGAGTGATTTCTGTTAAAATCTAGTTACTTGACTTAATTATGAAACTTTCCGATGATGCCGAAAGGGGAGGAGATAAGGTATCTTTTTGCTTTGGACTGTGATATTTATAACCTAATGAACCTAGTCCTTGATGATTTGTGACTTTATCTGGAAAGTGTTCTGGCATTGTGTTTGATGTTGAGCTGAGTTAAAACAGGTTTCTTGCTTTTAAAAAGCACAGAGTTTGTCATTATCGAAAAGGAGGAATTTGTTAACCTGAGCGGTATCGATTTTGATGATTGACAAAGGAACACATGCATGAATCAGGTTCATGGACACTCTACATAGGTTACAGTCAGATTCAAGCAAAAGGCATGTACGTGCAAGGGATAAGTATAAGTAGTTATTTCTGATAATCCCTGAACGAAAAGATTACATATTTTATAAGGAGAAGGACTCCTTACTCGAAGAGAACTCTATCCAATATATGAAAAAAGTTAGAAGTTGAAGATAACTAGAACGCTTCCACCAAGGAAGAGTAAAGCATCAAGTTTCTAGTTAATCCTAATCCTACTAACTCTATATGTATCAGTTGTGTTATCTTTTACAAGTGACGAACATATACTGAAGTTAAGCAGAATTGAGAGCAAAATAGCAAAGCATTTTGTGAGCAATTCTTGTGAGTTTCAAGAGTACTAACCTGAAGCTATATGAACCAGATTGAAGAACCAATTTCATGTGTTTGTCTTTATTCTAGTTCAATTGTAGTTGGAGATTTTGCGTTGTACCTTTCAGCTTTTCTTATAAATATATGTACTAGGTACTTGAGTTGTATTATTCAAGTAGAGTTAACTTGAAGCAGTCGCAACAGCCTGTGGCATGTTGCTACAAGGGTTAGAGTTAATCTTTAGGTTTGAAAGAGTTAGTAAACATTGTTTTTTGGCTCGGAGTTATTCTGAAGCATTTGGGAAAGTCCTACTGGAAAGTAGGTCGTAGTTTTTTTTACCTTTTGAGCCGGGTATTTTCCACGTAGAAATACTTGTGTTCTTTACTTTCTCCATTACTTATTCCGCAACTGTAGTTTAAGGAATGCATAGAAAAAAATGTCCCTTCTATTATCCAATACACGCAAAAATTGAATACCACACAAATCACNTATGAAGCTTCCTCAAGGTCTCACAGTTGTATCCTCTTCACAGTCTGGCTCTCCTCTGGTTTGTAGACTGCAGAAATATCTATGGCTTAAGACAAGCTTCTACGCAATGGTATGCCAAGCTGTCCCAGACCATTTGCACTAGGGGTTACACTCACTACTTGAATGATTACTTCCTTTCATTAAGAGATCAACTTCATCTACTGTGTTTCTTAATGTTTATGTAGATGACATTATTCTTACCGGTGATGATCCTCAAGAGATTTCTTCTCTAAAGATGTTCTTAGATGAACAATTTAAAATCAAAGACTTAGGGTTTCGTAACTATTTTTTGGGTATTGAAATCTTGTATGATACATCTGGGGTGCTTCTTCATCATAAGAAGTTTTATTTCGAGCTAATCACTGAATATGGTTGTTCTGCTGCTTCTGTTGTAATTTCTCCTCTTGAACTATGTGTCAAACTTAGATCTGATGTTGGGGAATTGCTACCCAAGCTTGAATCCTATTGAAGTTTGGTTGGAAAGTTGAATTTCCTCACTCATACTAGGCCGAATTTATGTTTTGATGTGCAACCATTGAGTCAGTTTCTCAAGTGCCCTCGTATGCCCCATATGACTGCTGCTTTGTATATTTTATGGTATCTGAAGGGTACACTTCATGTTGGATTTTTTCTTAATAGTTCCTCTGATTTCTCTATCCAAGATTTTTGTGATAGTTATTAGGCATATTGCTCTGAATCTATAGCCGATCAGTTTTTGGGTTCTGTATATCCTTAGGGAAAGTTTAATTAGCTGAAAATCCAAGAAACAGGCTGTTGTGTCCTTGTCTTCTACAGAGGTAGAATATCGAGTTATGAGTAAGGTGGTGGTTGAACTTTCATGGTTGATTCGTTTGTTGGCAAACTTGGGGTTACATATGTCCACTTCCATTCCTATACATTGTGATAGTTTGTCTGCGCTTCACACTGCTAAAAATCTTGTTTTCCAAGAGTGCATGAAACATATAGAGGTTGATTGTTATTTCATCTGAACCAAGTTAGCTGATGGCATTATTTATCTGCATTATATTTCTACATCTTCTCAACCTGCTGACATTTTCACTAAGTGTTTGACAGGTGGGCAGCATCATTTGTTGCTTGGCAAGTTGAGAGTGCTACCATCCTCCAACTTGATTTCGGGGGGGGGAGTTGTTGTTACTTGATTAGCAGTTACTTGGGCCTGTTAATGGACAATAGTTGTAGTCAGTTAGGTGTTAGCCCAATTGTATTTATTGGTCAATTAGGAGGCCCATTATTTCTTTGTTTTGTAATTTCCAGTTTTGCCCCAATATAAATAGTTACAATTTAGATATTTTTGTATTCAGTTTTTGACAAAAAGAAATAAGAAGCATCTCAACTTTCTCTCCAGTATGCTTGACTAAGCAAACCCTAGTTTCATTTTCTTCTATTTCTGCTTGATCTCACCAATTTAACATGAAACGCATACAAAATGCTTTCCTAAAAGTTATATTTGCTCTCTCTCCTTCATGAGATTTCTATGTGATCGTACAAATAGCTTTTGTGGATATGACAAGTCTTTTAAATTCTACACTATGCAAATAGTGAAGAAATTCATCTTAGGAAAGGAAGAACTCTCAACTTGATCATTTGAATGTAGAAGTAAAGAGAGTTTGGGGAAAAGTTGTGAAAGGAAGAAAGTATCATTTCTGCAAAGTTAACATTGGAATTATTTTCAAAACAAGACCAATTGTCTTTAAATAGACAGGAGTAGTTACAAATTTTGAAAAGGTACACAATTTCTAACATTATATATGTACTCACTAACAATTAAAGGTTTGTTTATGCGGTTGTAATTATATAAAACCTTGTACAAATAACCCTTAGGCTAGCCAAAATCGTAGCTATGAAAGCTAAGGGACTTCAGTCGCCATCACCTCCATCACCGCTGCCACTACTGGTACCCTACTATTTTAGCATCAACACTACCATCACCACCATTTGACCCCATCGATCAACTACAAATGAAATAGTCTTCAACGAACTTCTACTTGGCGAACACAGTTCTACCATGACTCGTGGTGATGGATTAGAGTATGATCTTGATGACTCTAAAAAAGCTCTAGTAAGGTTTCTTTATGATAATCAATTTAATCCTGCATATCAGAATTGCGTGCATCAGGATCAAATGGTTTTAAGTTGGATTTTGGCGTCTTTTCAGATAATGCGCCACCACAAATAGTAGGCTTCGAGACAACAGGTGCAACCTGGGAAAAATTGACTTCGATAACGTGATCTTCAGTAGGCTTTTACGGACCGCTATCATACGACATCGTTAAGGATTTGTGAGTTGAAAATTTAGTAGTATACTGCTGACTCATGTGATGTTTGATGATTGAAAAACAAAATGTAATTGTTAAATGAATTGAGTAATTTGTTTATGATGATTTTATAAGCAAACGTGTTTGTTGAGTTTGAAGGAGTGAGGTTCTTAAAAGCTAAATATGTTTTGAAAGGAATCACTACGGAGTAGGAACACATGTTAGAATAGTCGTAATAACTGTTTTCATTATGTAGGATTTATAAAAGATTTTGGTTTGTTATATGGAAATATCGTAACCGAAGCAATTTTTTGGAAAAATAATTTGTGCTTTATAGAGAATTCGTCTATGGCTTTAGAATAACTGTAGGATAGTTTTCTCACTGCTCAATGAATTTTAATTAGGTTAGAATTGTGTTATTTAGAGAAATGATCTAGTATGAATCTTTTATGGTAAGTATATATTCTTGTTGCAAAAAGAATCTACAAACAATTTTGCGTATAAAAGTCCGGGAAGTTATTGAAGAAAGATATGTGTCCGTAATACTTCAAATTTGAGTAGTCAAGAGAAAAAAGGTATGAACCAGTGGAGCGTATGCAGGAACAAGCTCGACAAGCATTTCTTCATAGAGATTTGAGTCATATTGAGTGCTTCGAGTCCAGTTCTAGTAAATATATTAGGTTTTCCATTGTGATAGTTAGGGCTGCTTATCGGGCGGATGGGGCGGTTAATTACTCTTAACGGTTTGGCTTAACGGTTATCGGCTTTTAAATGTATTAATCTGCTAGCCACCCGATAAGATATCGGGCGGATTGGTAACGGTTTAGCTCTTATCGGGCGGTTATTGGGCGGTTTATCGACCTAATTCAATCTATATTGCGTTCATTAATTGTTTGTTGACCGCCTAGCATACAAATTCAGAATAGAAAATTACACATTGAGTCCAGACATGTCTGTTAACGCCTACATAAGAATGATGTAGTGTGTCATGTGTTGTAGAGTGAAAAAAGTTGTGGCACAACACCGTTGTTCTTCTATTAAACATAGACAACATGCATTAGTTTTAAAAAAACAAAAACATAGGTGAACCATAGACACCATCTTAAACAATCTTGTTGTAGGGTAGGAGAATAAGCTAAGCCTGGGATCTTCTAATGCATAGTACGTAAGGGTTCTGATTATTTAGGAATTAGGCATTAGAACTTAGAGATGAAGTACTAGAAGAAGTGGAAGGGTTTTTGATATTTAATATATATATATATATATATATATATATNCGTTTCGGTTCGGTTTTCGGTTTCGGTTCGGTTTTGAACACCCTAGTGATAGTAGCCCACGTGAACAAGTCTCAATATCTTTTATTCAGTCACAAGCTAAGGAATTTCAGGACTTGCAAGTTGCAACCATATGCAATGAATATGAAAACTGAGGAGGAACCTTAGTGGAAACGTTTGAAACTCTACAATATCATAGAACTTATAAGAGATAGTATATCTTAATTGCCAATGAAATAAATCACAATATAAAGCCCAAAAGTGAAGTTTCAAGCTGCAGGAACTGTTCGACCGCAATCGCGGGCTCTAGGTCGTAATCATGAAGGAGTACCAGACTGAAGCTTTTGCAATCACAGAGTCAACTCTCACAATCGCGGAGAAGGCCAACCTAGAGATTAATCGTAAAGAGAACTGCAATTGCAAAGGTGACTGATTCCTAAAGACCGTGATCATGGTGGATATGCCTAACATGCAATATTTTCTAATTTGGAATATTCCTTTTATGGATTAACTAGGGGTTATTAGTCTTTTCCATTTAATAACTAGGCCTAGTTTAAATAGTACCTTCCAAGATTTGTAGGGTAAAGCTTACTTTGATATTGGATGAATATTTGTGAGGATGATAAATTCCTTGGTTGATTCAAAAATTTTAAAGGGGGCTTCAAGTTGTGAATTCAACTTGAGTGTTTCCTATTGTTTAGGAAATCTTGTTGCTTAATTAGGGTGTTTTATTGTCAATTGAATGTTCTAATTTTTGCTATTCAATCTGTTTATTCCTATTTACTTTCTTAAGTTTTCTTTGTTTTCTTATTTGATTCGTATCATTTTGGTATTAGAGAAAGACATATTGTTCTAAAAATTCTTGTTTAGTTCTTGATTTTATCTAGAGAATCATAAATAAAGTCTAGAAATTGCTAATGTTGAGTTTTGATCGTATAAATCTGTGAAGAACTTTAATTTTTGTTTATAAATCTAAAGCTGGAAATGGTTGGGGAATTAATTCCCTCAACTGATTGATGCTGAAATAGCTTGAAGAACAAGACAAATTAGACCCACAATTATTAGTGTTCTTGACTTGACAACTAAAAATTTAAATCTATGATTTAAGTATTTGTTTGAAGTGGGTATTCCAAATTAAAATTTCATTCCTAGCAGCTAAAAGAAGCTATTACTTAGGTTTGTGATCATTCGGTTGAGATTTAAAGTGGTTATGGATAAAATAATTTCAAGAACAAGAGCTGAAAATCAGGGAAGAACTCCGAACAACACACGGGATTTTCCGCGATTAAAAGAAAAACATTATGAAAGCGTAGAAGCAGAAACTTAAGGTTTCGCGGTCAATTACTGCAATATCAAACGATCAACAGTTAAGGATCGCATCACTGGACGATTAAAGGAAACTCATCTTCCGGTAACGAAGTATTTTCCTTGTTTTTATTTCTTTCCTTTGAACGACTAATGATAACAAATCTGTGGGGCTTGTCAAAGGGAGCTCCAACCTTAAGACTCATTGATAGAGAGTCTCACACCTTTAAGGTTTATAAAAAAAATTCTATGTATCTTTATTTCTAGTAAAATAGGAAAACTTGTCCAAGTAAGAAATCTGATTGAAATAGAACTAAAAATCTAACATAATACTATAACTGGAAATAAAAGCTAAATACTACAAATAAAACAACATAATTAATGTTGTTGCTTAATGGTTCCATACCTTTTATACCGGTCTCTAATAAAGGCATTTGTAACATCACTCCCCTTCCGGAGAAAGATCTTGTCCTTAAGCTTGTAATGTGGAAAAGCATTACAAAACTGAACCAGATCTTCCAATGTAGCATCATCAGTTGAAAATCCATACAATTGAACCATAATCTCCTAATTTTCATGATTGAGTCGAGATTAGAGAATGGTGTCCGGAATAA